AGTAACCAACAAGAGCAAGTCGTGGAGGAAGATGAACCTACCCTATCAACTGTTGTATCCAAGTGTACAGAAGTATGTGCAGAATGGATGAGGCACTGATCATGTTCCAAGATCTGTTTAATGACTGTATACCTAACAAATCTGACTGTTCTGTGAAAATGTATGCAGTGTTAGATGATTAACCAATTCAATACCGGGCAATTTTACACCTTCCTGCCCAGGCCAGTTTTCAGGTTTCAGCACTCTCACACTTTGAATGACAATTGCGCGGTCATACAACATTGTACCCAAACTAAAATTTTATCATTTTCTTCACACAACTAGAGCTTTATTTTCGTGGTATTTAATCGCCGCTGGGGTTTTTATTTTTTGCTAAATTAACAAAAAAAGACCAAAAATTTTGCAAAAAAACACACATTTTTCTTTGTTTCTGTTATAAAAGTTTGCAAATAAATAATTGTTCTTCATAAATTTAGGCCAAGATGTATTCTACTACATGTCTTTGGTGAAAATAACCCAAATTAGGATGTATTTTTTAGTTTGTAGGAAAGTTATAGAGTTTACAAACTATGGTATAGATCTGAATATTGATCAATCCTGAAGTGCTGACAGCCAATCTAATTTCTTGAGGTCCAAGAATGTCAGAACAGTACAGATATCCCCCAAATGACCCCTTTTTGCAAACTAGACAGTCCGACGTACTTTATAAGAGGCATGGCGAGTTTTTTGAAGTTGTATTTTTTTTGTCATAATTTTTCGGAAAATGAAAAAATTAACAAAAATTAGTTTCACTATTTTCTTTTTACATATTGTCACCAGTGCAGTACAGCCTCATCATATAACTGGCATGGCGGTGATCAGGGACACTAACTGGTGACAGTATGAAAAAAAAAAAAAAAAATTAGTATTATTTTTTTATTTTTTATGAAGTTTTTTTTATTTTTTTTTAAGATTTTTTTTCATATTTCACTATTACCAAAGTAGTACAATGTTACCATAGTAACATTGTACTACTTTGGGGAAGTGATCAGTATTTTATTTTAAAGAATTACTTTGCTATAAGCAAGCATTTACCTGAATGACATCGATTCATTCAGGATTTTTTTTTTTTTTTTTTTTTTTTGTGCTTAGCTGTGATTTGGCCACAGCTAATCACATGACATGTGCATGTGATTAGCTGTGACCATTCACAGCTAGACACTAGTATACAATGGATGGCATGAATGAAGCCATCCATTGTATACAACTGTCATGTGACCTGCTGTGATTGGTCACAGCAGGTCACATGGTACCGGCAACGGGGGGCGATACTCAGATCTGTCATCGGCCGTGTCCGAGGTACACGGCCGGTGACAGATCGCGCCGCATATGGCGTCCACCCAGAACGCTGATGACATTTGCCGTCCGCCATTCGGCCATCGGGCGGGCGGCAAATGGTTAAAGTAATCGCTCATTAGCCAACTCAGAGTTCTTAAATGTGTTTAACAATAGTGGTGAAACATTTTCTTACACACTAAAAACATGCTTAGGTACTATGGTAAAATAGGGTGTAGGGCATCTAACTTCATTGTTCAGTCTATTGATGGGAAAACACACATAAGACTTCCCACTCTCATTGAATGGGACATGATGCGGGATGACAGGTCAGAAATACCAACCCCTGAAATACACAGCATTTCCCTCATTTAAATTCCTTTACAGATAAGATTCCCGCAACTGACCCTAATGCCCAAATACTACTCTTTCTAGGGAGAGATTTTCTCACAGTACACAAGGTACATGAGCAGATTAACGAACCCCTTAAGGCTCCTTATGCACAACGTTTAGATTTAGGTTAGGCCATAGTTGGAGAAATATGCTTAGGTGGGGCTCACACACCAGCAGATGTGAACTCATTTAAGACAAATGTGCTGCATAATGGGTGCCCTTCTCTATTCCACCCATGCCCCAGCTATATATGAGTAAAAGAGTCCTTTAATGTTTGCAAACTACAGCCATGCATTCCCTCATTATGCCATTCTGGAACTACAGCTCATAGCATGGACAGTTTAGGTGGCAACGTGTTCACTAGAAGTCCAAATGATGAGATACCTGCTATGGCCATTGAAGATCATATGTTCCTTGATGTAGCTGATGTTTGTAGATAAAGCAAACCACTGGGTAGCACCCCTACCATTTCATTCAACACACCCTAGACAACCAAACAACAGGGAGCAAGTACAGAAGAGACTTCTTGTTTTACAGCACTCCTTTGCAAGAAAACCTGAAATGAAAGAACATTTTGTTAACTTTATGAAAAAGATCTTTGACCATTACCAAGCAAAACCTACCCCACTGCTGAAGAGAGTTGGTACCTACCAATATTTGGCATCTATCACCCCCAAAATCCAGAGCAGATCAGTGTTGTTTTTGATTCTAGTGATCAGTATGACGACATCTCATTGAATGACAAACTTCTTGAATAATAAGCTGCTAGGTTATACATTTCTACAAAGAGCAAGTTGCAGTTACTAGTGATGTGCAGAAAATGTTTTACTGTTTCGTGGTTAGAGAAGATCACGACATCTACTTGAGTTTCCTTTGGTTTCAAGATAATGACCTCACCAAAGAAATTACAGAGATATAACACAAGATATAAGGCGAGCACAGATAATATGGTAGCTGCTAGCACAAAAGGCAAGGTAACAAACCCATAGTAATCAATTCAAATGTAAGTGCAGCGCTAAAGCATAAGTGACAAATGCAATCATAGAGTGCTTATGTGAATAGAAGTATTCATACAATAAAACCGTCTCAGATCATATAAAATCATAGAATCGTAAAAAATTTAAAAAATCTGAACATAAATAGTGAATATAAATAGTCCGTGACACTACAGATCACAGAAGTGCCAAGTGATATGTGTGTGCTTTTTAGCAATATTAGTGATTATACATGCCCGTGACACTACAGGTCACAGCAATGCCCCGTGTTCGAGGAACTACTAGGTGCAGCAATACCAGCTAGGATGCTCAAGAGTGCTCATGATCCAACATGGGATTCCACCATCTTATATGGATGTACACTCACCAGAATGCTACTTGTACAATAGCGTTAATGCTGATCTTTATGGGGGTCTCAGGAAGCCATAAATAGGGACCGGACATCTCCAGAGTCAGGGCTATGCAAAACCAGCAAAGGATCTGCCTAGGGGAGAGAAGCTCACCACAAGAACCGAAGGTATGGCAATATAGTGTAGTATTTATTGTAAATAGTTAAAAGTAATCCACGTGGATACAGCAAAGATTAAATGCATAAAAGCATACCAAGATGGCCGCCGCTCCAAAATCTGGCCACGGTGGCGTGACATCAGCACGTAAGGCTCACCCTTGGGTGAGCCTTACGTGCTGACATCACGCCGCCACGGCGTGCACACTATCACCATGCACACTGTGGTGTGCATGGTGATATACAGTTTAACATGTGTACCGCAATCAACAGTTTCATATGTAGGTGCCCTGACATGTGTGGTTAAGTTTGTATGTGTGTATATGTGGGGGTGGAGGGCCTCAAAAAAATTTTTTTTTGGTCAAAAAAGCGCTAAAAAATGCAAATGCGGAAAATTGTGGGAAAAATGCCGCTAAAACATGGCAAAACACCACTACACACTAATGCAAAAACACTAAAAAAAGCCGAAAAACTCACGTTTTTAACGTGACTTTACACAGCTAATATTACCAGCGTTATCAAAACGTCCAGCGTACATGAGGACTTAGACTAACAGCCCTGCCACCTGTAGCAATTGTGCACACAGATATGGACTGTGTGTGTGCTGGGTTCACAAGGGCATCAGGTACAGTTGGATACACTTCATGGTTGTAATCCCAATTAGCTGGTGCCCGGGTGTCTGTTAGCTTTTCGAACTGAGATGATCATAAAGCTATAAACCAGTCCTTCACTGGACATGAAACACATTCCAGAATAGCCGTAAAACATGCATCCCATTTAAAAAACCACTTTTCATAACTTAAAATGGGGAATACATACAATCGAACAAAGCATTATATTTGGATAGCTTAGTTTAATGCAAGTCGCCTGATATCTTACACCCCTAGATTAAGTCTACCGGAGAGCAGAAAGCGATATCTCTTTAACCGTCACAGGTAGATATGTCATATATGATATCTAGACGTTCAGCAGATGATTCTACATATTATCCTACCAGTGGATAGGATGCTCCATGTACCTATGGAAGATTATTGACCATGTTAAAACGTGTGAGGGATTTGGTCATAGCAGAGTTCCCCGCCTAAACACCCTCCCCAAAATGAGGCGATTGGTTCTCTCCTTTAAGGAGACACCCTGCTGGTGGACTAGAAAATAGGCTGTCAGGCCTGAGAGAGGGAAGTTGAAGAATTCTCCCTTTTTAACATCAGGAACCAACTTTGGGAGAAAAGGCACCCTTTTGCTCTGACACTTGAACGCTGCTTAACCTCCCTAGCGGTCTGATTATGTCCATATTTCTGTGCTCAAAGCGGTAAATTTTTTTGCATTGAAATATGTAGTTTTTTTTTATTGTAGGCCTGTAATTTTTAGGAATAACTCACTGAAATCTGTCCAAACAAGAGTCTAGTAAACATCCCGTGTATGTTAAAATTTGAAACACAAAATCATAAATTATAATTTAATAAATAATCATAAAAAATAATAATATAATAATAAATTTAATTAAATGATATAATCAAACCAAAAACACCGAAATTTGAAATATAGCGCAAAGTTCGCACATCACTGAGCAAAGTCTCAAAATCTTTTTCAGTGTCTGATGACGAATTTCCCCACAAATCATTGTCACTCAATTCTGCAAGTAGTTCTAATTTACTATCGCTGTTCTCTAGCTGGTCTAAAACTGCTTTTGGCCTAAAGGTACGCTTTTTGGATGCCATGGACATTTCTCAGTTTCAAGGTAGAAAGAACAGTAAAAATGCAGGCAGGGCACAGGACAAAGCACTAGGGACAAAATGTATATGAAATGGTTTGATACAGTAATGTTTTACTATGTGATTTTAGTGAATCTAGTGAATGGCACTTTTTGTTATTTTCAAATTTCCCGCCGTTACGTCTTGATGTCGCAGGGAACGGAACCCAGATGACAGATGCTGGCATCTGCCGGAGAACATTGCCGGGGACACTGCAGGAGGGACATCACGGGAGCGCAGGACAAGATAAGTGAAGAACAGATCCCGGAGCAGCGCCGCATGGTAAGCCCGAGTGTAGCTCGGGGTTACCGCTTGTGGTACTGAAACTTTACCCCGAGCTACACTCGGGAATACCGCCAGGGAGGTTAAACCAAGGCTGACGGCAAGTATTCTACCTCTCTCAACTTCTTTCTGTTATCTCTCTGTTGTGGTATAGCTCTCTGTATTTATATATATATATTGGCTACATATTTTTCTGTAAATACTTTTATTGCACCATTTTGACCTTTTTAGTAATAAATCTTATTATCTGAAAAGTGTTGAACTGTTTCTAAAGTTTTTTAATGCAAATTAAGAATCCCTGTCTCTGAAGAGTGCTACTGTGTGTTTTAAAACCTCTGGATACATCTGCCTGCGGTGGCAGTGAGTATCCAGACGCTTATTTAAACATCATAGTGTTACTGCTAAGATTAGTGAGTTTCCTCTTTCTCTGTACAAAAAGTAGGTGGTGGCAGTGTGTGCAGGGTGCAGCTGAGCGTGGTATTGTTACGCATGTGACAGCGGGGTTTAGATTAGCTAATCCTTCGGTCACGAGTTGGTGAGAAGGGCTGGGGTCTGACGCCGTGTCCGTCACACCACCCACCTGCTTTTGGAGGGAAGGCGCTTGTGTCGAGAAAGTGCAGAAAGTTTGGCACAAGAGCTGTCAAGTATACATCCATCTCCTTGAAACATGTGCTTGCAAATTGGTGGATGGAGCTTGAGGCACTCTGTCACATACTGGATCTCAGCTTCTACAGCTCCTAAAAAAGATTGGACAAAGGGGTTGATTTACTAAAGGCAAATAGACTGTGCACTTTGCAAAGCAATTGCACTCTGCAAAAGCAGTTTATCCAGAGCTTAGTAAATGAGCAGAAGCTTCAATGACTTCCATCATCCAATCATCTGTAAGCAAACATGCTGTTCTTTTGTGATTGGGTATTCTTTGCAAAGTGAAGCTTTAGCTCATTTACTAAGCTCTGGAGCAGTTGCACTTTACAAAGTGCACACTGTATTTGCTTTTAGTAAATCAACCCCAACGTGTCATATGTACTTTGTACCGTACGGGATTGGAGCCTCAAATAATTGATTAAGGGATAGTTCTTTTTTGACCATTATTTTAAAATAGTGTCCAGGATTTAAGATATTAAATGAGCCCATATTTGCTTTCACTGCTCAAGTGATAAACTCCCAGTTCTCCTTCTTTGACCTTTACTAATGTTAAACTAGGAAAGCATTGGGAAGTTTAGGCAGAACTTTGAACAATGACAAAGACTGTCGGTGCCCCACGCCCTAAGCGTCATTCCAGGAGGACTGCAGTTTCACAAATCCTCCACATCAGTATCTAAGTTACTCAATGATTGTAATTAGTAACATTCATTACATCTTTCCCTTGTGTTTATTTTCCTATTCAAACCAGACAGAATGTGCTCATACAGACTGATCATTAGTAAACAGCCACTGTGCCAGAGCAGACACTTTCCAATATAGCACAGTGTGTCTGTTCGTTATGAAGGGATATTATACAGTGTACTAATGTAAGAGTAATAAAATAATGGAAACATTGGTGTATACAGTCACATTATGTTATTCAATTTTCTGTATGACTTTATAAAATCTATTTTATAGGCCTAAAGCAACACTAAAGGCTCAGTTTTCTCAGTTTTTTAAAATAACAAAGTCATATTTACCTGCTCTGTGCAATGGTTTTGGACAGAGCAGCCCCGAATCTCCTCTTCTTGGGTCACCTGGCTGTGCCCCTCCCCTTGCTGAGTGCAGCTTGCTCTGCGGGCACTCATGCATGCTCACTCTTGAGTCCTGCTCTGTGTGTCTATAAGACACACAGAGCTAGTCTCAGCCCTGCCCCCACTCTGTTCTCACTGGCTGAGATTGAAAGCAGTGGGAGCCAATGGCTTCCACTGCTGTGTCTCAGCCAATGAGAAGAGAAAGACTTAGAAGAGCTGTTGCTCCCGTCCATGGTGCTGGATCAAGATGGGGCTCACGTAGGTATTAAGGGTGCTGTGTGGGGAGCAGCACACAGAAAGTTTTCTACTTTCATGCATACAATGCATGAAGTAAAAAAAACTTCAGCCTTTAAAAGAGGCATTATTGAAACTGAATAACATATACAGTGTATATTTTTAATTTTAATATCAACATACTGTATATTTGCAGTTTTGCAGGTAAATGTATTTATTTATTTCAGGTACTTATAAAGCGCCATCAATTTACGCAGCGCTTTACATATGTATTGTACATTCACATCAGTCCCTAAGGGTCATACAATCTAAGGTCCCTAACTCACAATACATATATATACTGGGACCAATTTAGACAGAATCCAATTAACCTCTTCATGCCGAGCGCACGCAAATGTGTGGCCTCTCAGCATCTGGGCCTTGACACCGAGCAGCCGCACATTTGCGTGCAATTAGAAAAACATATGTGCTGAGAGCGTGCCCCCAGCACACATGTCCAGTACTCATGGAAAAGTCCCGATCTCCTCTTGTGATTGGGACATTTCCCAGTCATGTGATCGTGAATCACGGCAGTCACATGACCCTAAAACCCTGTCCACCTACTGAAATCTTTAAAGGGCCAGGAGGTGCCGGCACTAAGGGGTTAACCTACCAGCATGTCTTTAGAATGTAGGAGGAAACTGGAGGAAACCCACGCAGGTAGGCTCATGCAAACTTCAGGCAGGTTGCGCTGTGGTTGGGATTGAAACTGACGACACTAGTACTGCCAGGCAGAAGTGCTAACCACTTAGCCACTGTGCTGCCCAAACAGAATAAAACTTACTATATATTTGTTAGAATGTTCCCATTCTCATAGTATAACTTATAAAAAAAAATATAAAATTACTGCCAGTATTTTATTTGCTTTATTCTGAAAACACCAAATCTAAGGTTTTCCCCTGCTAAAAAATGTTAAAGGGGGCTGCAGAGTTTACGTTTACCAAATTTAACCAGTCTGTGCTGGAAGATCTAAAAACCAGTTGTGCACAAAATCATGTATATATACGTGATTTCGCATTTCCAGGTAGGGGGTGCGCACACTCTACCCACGCCGCCATTTGCAGCCATGGCTGTCAATCACTTGGTCCTGGCCAGTGATTAATCGCTGGTGCCTGGTGATTACTGAGGATCTCCGACGGGGAGGAGAACTGTTTTGTTTACTAAGAGTTCTCCTCCCTGTCAGCTCGGGCACACTGCTTTGGATGGCTGTGCACATCCAAAGCAGTGTGCTTACAGTGAAGCACACAGACTCTGCCCCATAGTAAAACAGCACACAGTTAACCCTTTGATCACCCCTCATGTTAACCCCTTCCTGCCCAGTGCCATTAATACAATGTCAGTACTGTATTGGTGTCACTGGGGATGTCAGTGACACCAAGTCAGCCTCCCCCCCAATTTACAACGAAATTAGATTTTTAAAATTTTTTAACTGGACATGTTTAATAGCAAAAAGTAAAAATACAGTTTTTTTCTCAAAATTGTCATTTGTTTTTTTTATAGCACAAAAAATAAAAAAATGCACAGACGATAAAATACCACTGAAAGAAAGTTCAATTTCTGGGGAAAAAAAGGGTGTAAATTTAATTGTCAGCTAAAGTAATGCAGTGCCGTAATGCAAAAAAATGGCCTGGTCAGCATGGGGGGGGGGGGGGGGGGGGTAAATCATCAGGAGGGCAAGTGGTTAAAGGAAATATTTTGTTTATTTAATGTGGTTTGTGCATTATTGTTGGAATACAGTGTTCATGTATTTTTGTACAACAATTGCATCAATATCAGTATTCAGTAGAGATATATTCTTCAACCAGTAGATGACAGTGTTTATAAGTTTGTTGCTGCATCCATGGTTAAACTCTATGTCAGCGGTTCTCAACCTGTGGGTTGCGACCCCTTTGGGGGGTCGAACGACCATTTCACAGGGGTCACCTAGGACCATCGGAAAACGCAAATTTCTGATGGTCTTAGGAACCGAGACACTGCTCCTCTATCCGTCTCCAGGCGATTTGTCGGCGAGATGACATGCCGCCCCTGTCATCTTGCCACACACCCCCAGGATCACTCAACAGCTCCACCTCCTCGCAGGTTATTGGCTGCCGGAACTGTAGCTCAGGAAAGGCACACAGGCGGCCAATCACCGGCGAGGAGGTGGAGCTTGGAGAGGAGGAGCCGAGCGGCAGCATGAACATCAAAGAAGATCGAGTGAGGGAGCTGCCGGAGCGAGTGAAGAGGAGAGCGGCCGGGAGAAGGAAGACAGCTGACTGGTAAGTGTCTGTACAGTGCAGATGGTGCTGCTGCAGCCAGGTATGCTGGCTGTAGATAGGAGAGGCAGGGAGTGAGCCCAGGCTGGAGCAGGGGTCATCAAGGTTAGTATCATTGGTGTCAGTGGGAGGAATAGTGCCCCATCATTGGTGTCACTCATACCAATGATGGGGCACTATTCCTCCCACTGACACCAATGATGGGGCGCTATTTCCCCCCACTGACGCCAACAATGGGGCACTATTCCTCCCCCCATTGACACCAACAATGGGACACTATTCCTTCCCCCCACTGACACCAACGATGGTGCACTATTCCTCCCCCCCCCCACTGACACCAATGAAAAGTTCCTGTTTCCTGTTTGCAGAGAAGCAGCAGATAAACACAGATGGACTGTGCACTGTCTGTTTTGTAGGGCTGTATACAGAATCTCTAAGAAAATGGTCAGTAACACAGCTGCAACAAAGGTTTCATTTACAAACCTGACAAACCAGAACTACCAGTCTTGGAAATTCAAGATGGAAATGCTGCTAATAAGAAAGTATGTTGAAATGTATAAATGAAGTCAGACCAGAACACCCTTCAGATGAGTAGATAGAGAAAGGTCAGAAAGCTCAGAGCACAATATCTCTTAGCATAGAAGATGATTAAATCATACATATATGTAAGTGTGAAACTGCTAAAGAAATGTGGGAAGGATTTCAATTGGTTCATGAAAGAGCTGATCTCAGCAATAAATTTTATTTGATTAAAAAGCTACAGTGGGGCAAAAAAGTATTTAGTCAGCCACCAATTGTGCAAGTTCTCCCACTTAAAAAGATCAGAGAGAGGCCTGTAATTGGCAT